TATACCAATAGGACTATATTGACATGGATGGTCTTCTAGATGAGTTGGGATATTGTTATATGTATTGATGCCAGGAGGTAATGTTCACTGTCTATACATACTACGATTCGACGATGGTTTTCACTAATGTAGCCCGAAACCCTAAACCTTAAACCCTTGGTGCATAGGCTCTTCTGAGACAGTATTTGGGTTAAAGGTTACCCAGAACCCTAAAGCTCTAAACAGGGGTTCGGGTTCAGGGTTTAAAATGGTCTGGGGCTCGAGGGTGTGGGGTTTTGGAGTTTCGCGTTTGGCGGGGAGCTCAAACGGGTCTAGGCCCAGGCTTTACAACAGTTGTCGGGTTTGTCGGCCAAGGGATTTTCACAAGCGATTTTGGCACACGCTTTGCAGCCAACCCTTTCTTGGCAATTGAGGTGTGACCTTATCCGAAACCCATGTCATGACACTGGCAGCCCCAGGGCCTCAACTTCCGGACCTGAGGTCGCAGCGGGAGTGTTCAACCAATGGAACCAGCTAGCACAGAGGCCCTGAAGCCGAAACAACCGCGCCGCCAGCAACGGCGAAGGCGCCTCCTGCTAAGCGGCTAAGCAGCTCCTCGGGAGCTTGGTGAGTTGCTAATGTTTGCAAAGTTGGGAAGAAGGTATGTGGGGCCTGTGGGGAGTTCCGAAGAGGAGCCCCTCGTGTACGGGATCCTTAATCCCACTTCGAAAGCAGAAAGGCGACAGATGACGACAGCAAGCTAGTACCAACTATAGTCGTGTACTCTGTCTGATGTGAGTTCCGTGACTGCCGTGACGGCGCAGCCCTGGGTCACAAAGTCGGACCCTTACAGTGGGGGCAGCTCAAGATGAGCGATGCGTCTGTCTGAACTCAGCTCTTGCAGCAGTTTTGGGGTTGAGGGTTTGTGAATAAGGTTGAAATTGATCTCGCTAGCTAAGGTTTAGCTTTGCAAGTTTGTTTCAGAGCTTAGGGCTTCACATTTTATGAGCTGGGAGGGAGCGTGCTGATGCACAAAATGCGCGAAGCTGTAAATCGCATCAGAGACGCTAGACTAGAAGCTCCGAAACCCAAGAAGGAGTAAACGTCACCATAGCGGTTGTGCAAAATCACCCATGCCGACTCCACTGGGTCTCAGAGTCTCTGGGATTTACACTAAGGCGGCCTCATATGGGAGTTTCCCAAAATTAGGGTACCTTATTTTGGGGGTCTCATAATAAGGATCCTACTTTTTGGGTACTGTATTAGGATCCCCTATTTTCGGAAACTCCCATATCCTGCTGCTCAGGGTCGTCTTTGTACTAGTGCCAAACTATTGCATCGGGCCCCTTGTTGACACTGCTTTGAGGGACAGTTTTCGGGTATGGCTCATAGAAGATATAGGAACCTTAATGATTCGACAAGAGCTTTGGGGTACATGGTACTACGCTTATAGTAAGGATCCCCAATATAGTTAGTATTGGTTATCATGCAGGCTCCTACAATATGCCCTAAGCCAGAAACCCCAAGCCCTAAACCCTACACTCTACCCTAAACCCTAAACCCCACAACCTAAACCCTAAGGCCGTAAACCCTAAGCGCTCAACCCAATTCGTCTGTTCTTTTTCCTTACAGTAGAAGCCAGAAAGTTGGAATATCATTATCGTAACCCCTTTAAAGTAAATTATAGGGGATCCTACCATTAATCCATACTCCAACTTTCTGGAGTTCCCTTTAGCACCGCTGTTGCGGAGGCGTTCGGCCTCGCCCTGCTCCGTGGCATGGGCCCCTTGGTCGCAGCACAGCACTTCGCAGACTTACGGTTTTATTCTTATACTTTAAATTCTCATACTTATACTTATACTAACACTTACATATGTATATATGTATAAATACATGATACATATATATAGAGAGAGATAGATCGACAGAGATATAAACATTATGTGTACACGTATCTACACAGAGCAGTTGTTGCATAGCATGGCTTTGCAGGGGCTTGTGAGCGTAATACAGGGGTCTGAGTAATTTGTGATGATACCCTTTCCTCAAGAACCGGATTGTAACCACTGCGGGCACCTGACGAAACTCCTTTCCGCACAGGGGTTTATCATGGGAGATATTGACCAGGGGTCTACGACAGAAACTACAGGGGAAATCAAAGGCTGCTGGAGGGACTTAGGGTATACGTGAAATGGTTTTCCGTTCAGTACTGTTGAGCTCGCATTGGGTTTAGTGTACGGGCTTCGTGAGGGTGTTTATGCATGACAAGAGGCCCGGGAGCTTGACGAGTTCATGTTGTAAGGAGTCGTACAGCTAGTATACCACATATCGCGAACTTTTCCCCCTGAGCACGATTCTAGCACAGCTTGGAATCTAGATCATGGTATGTGGATCCTTTCCTGTTGACTCTCGACTGGGTTAAGTGCGCTGTTGTCGGGTTGAGGCTCTACCTATAGTCTCCATTGTATTGTAGTTCCTTTTTGGGGTTACCTTATAGGATCCCTAATATAGAGTTGGTTAAACCAAAAAAAGGAACTACAATGGAGACTATAGGCTTTGGCTCTAGGCATAAAAAGAACATCCTTTCGACCCTAAACTCGGCAAGCTGGAAGTACCGAATGGTGGCCCTGAGCCTTACCCCCAAGCCCTACCTTAACCCTGAAGAACCCACCTTTTTAGGGTTCCTTATTATGACTTCCTTATATAAGTCCTTAAAAAGGTAGGTTCTTCAGGGTCAAGGTAACCGTTAATCTCGGCGCAGGTTACGACCCCGAGAAGCACAAGACAAAGCCCATCTACCAGGACAAGTAGATGGCCCAGTGGTTTGGTTTCGTGGGGATTAGAGTTTAGGGTCTAGGCTGCTCTGAGTTAGTGATTTAAGGCTTGGAGGGCCTTGGGGGAATTCACAGTTACCGGGTTTGAGTGCTTAGATGTGTAGGGTTTAGGGTGTCAGCGGACAAACCCTGAACCCTGCACCCTTGTCAGGGTTGATCAAATCTGCGGGGGCAGGCTTTTGGGACCTAGGGGTCCATGGGGCGTGGGGCTCCTTCGGAGTTCTAGAGTTTGGGGATGCCTTTAGGGTTTGTGGGGTTTGGGGCTCCTTTGGAGTTTGGGGTTTGGTGTTGTGCCTTGCTTCGGTTTGGGAGAAGGGCACTTTGGGCAGAGATCCGGAAGTCGGGGGCAGTGACATAAAGCCCAAACCCTGAACCCGAAAAATCCTAAAAACCCTAACTCCTAAACCCTAAAACCCGAAAAGGAGCCCTCAAAAAATAAGAAAAACCCAAAAAACCCAAAGCCCTAAACCCTCCTGCTCCTGGCGATTACTGAGTCTCTGCATTACTTAGTCAGTGCCGAGGATCCTGGGGTTAGAAGAATACGATCCCGAAAAAATCTACAACAAAAGCATGCCCACCCCCAAGCCGGGTCGACACTTTATGGTCCAGGGTTAAGGGTTAAGGCTAACGGTTAAGGTACTCATGGCATACTGAATTCATACTTATGATAAGGGTCTTGGGTTTATATAAACCCTGACAGACTTGAAACTTAACAAACCATTCAAACTCGTCGTCCTCGGACAAGGCGCTAGGGTGGGGATGTTCGAAGTAACATAATTTTGTTTGGAAGGGGGGGTGCCTACCCCAGACCTATCCGATCCATCTTGCGCCTGATTCGGAATCGGGGATTCTGGGGAGTTGATCATGGGGATTTTCAGGATGTGTGCTTCTGTCCTGGCAATCGAGACAGTTTCTCAGGCTAAACCACAGACTCTACAAGTCTCCGACAGCAGCTCGTGACAGGGATGGCCGTCTCCGATAATAGTCCCTGGGGAAAGGCAGGGCTTCAATGTCAGAGTCTGCCATTAAGCTAGTTGCGGAATGAATCAAAGGATGGGGCAAGGCTTTGCTTGACAGCATACCAGACACTGAAGTCAATCTGTCTCAAACACAAGCTAGCTGTATACTTTGCTGAGAAAGCCATCACGGCTCCTCCCATTTTGGGCCTAATTATTATGAGTGCCGTTACAGCCCACTGTCACTAAACCCGCCCCGTTCTGCAGCCCGAAAACCCGCAAATCCAATCAACCAGCAACCCAGATACTTGGACGGAATGTTTGCACATAAGCAGCCCCGCTTCTCCTTTGATTTAGTCGCACCAAAATTGTCGACTGAAACTCCACACCTCGATTTAGTCGGACCTAACTTGTTGATTAACACTACCGTACAAACCTCGACTAGAATCGAGCCCTCATGAGCCCCACAGCCTAAGCCAAGCCTCGAGCTAATCTCCGACTGGCACTGCCATGCGTCAGTCCGACTTCATGTTCTAACATTCCAGCACATAGCGTCGAGACTGTCGCTTCTAGCTCCGAGCATTGCACCCTGGACTTTCTTCCTTACATCATCATAACCGACCGTTCCTTCCAGCGTGAAAGCCGACTTGTACTACTACGCTTGTCAAACGCAGCTACAGTTGCAAAAGTTTGTTTACTCGCAGGCTGGCTTTTCAGCAATCGTAGCCCGAAACACGGCTGTTGCAGTCGTCAACGTTGCCCCTTACTATTTCAAGCAACCCTTAGCGCCTGCAACTCTCAAGGAGAATTCGCAGCGACCTGCGTGCAGATCAAGCGAGGCCTCGCTGTCCGAATAGACGTTGCTCGTTGTCTCCACTTGAGCCTGTCTGCTTGCGTCGTTTAGTGTCTCCACCGCACCATGTCTGGCTCGCGTTTCTGTAGAGCTACTTGCCTGAAGGCTTGTTAGTAACTGCTAGTAACAACACGGTTTGACCCATGTGACAGTGCCGCTTCAAGCACCAACAAACCACCTCCTTCGCAGCGAATGTTGCGAGCTGCAAATTCACCGGAAGCTGTAAGCAAACACGTAGCTAGTGGGCTTCCCGCCACTCCAAACAAACCCCGACAGGCCCCGACAATCCCTTTTATTTGGTTTGTCTCCTTGTAGCACCACTCCGACCACTGGAAGCAGCAGGAGACACACTTATGCCCAGCTATTGCAGCGTGCAAGGCTGCAACGTCCAGCTGAGTCGATCTCGTCTGGACCGCGGCCTCACCCGCTGCGCCCAACACGGGCGAGGGCTGCGGGCTGGCAACCCCGCCCAACGCCGTGTGCGCAGCGGCCTCATCTGTTTGCGGCCGAACTGCCACCGGCGTCTCAGCCAGCCCCGCATCCGCGGAGGTGCATGCCGTTGCGCGGAGCATGGAGGCCCGTGGCCAGCCGGGAGACCGGTAACCGCGCTGAGCCGGCTCCGTGCAGCGACGGATGCGCAGCTGGAGCGGAGCGCAAGGACACTCGCCGAACGGTCCTGCATGGGCAGCCGCCTCTTGCTGCAAATGCTGCGACAGCACCAGGGACATCCCAACACTCCGCAAGGAGTGATTGGCGAACTGGAGAGTCCCTTGGAGAGCCCTGAGATGAGTGCTATGCAGGTGCAGACTCGACAAGAAACATAAAATAAAGCAGTCGAAAACATACCTCGATACTTTTTTCTTGCTTTATAGTCGAAACACAACTTTTGACGCCACGCCCCGCTGATGTCTGATAGTTGATTGGTCCCCTGAGGTCGGCGAAAGTGCGGAGCTGCTGCTGCTTAATGCAGCTTTGGCACGGCGCCTCTCCCCGACGGCAGCTGTGCAGCTGGGGTGGCAGTCTTCTTGGCAACCACATGTGGTGTGCCGAAAGCTGCTGGACCTTGCTGCGACTGGCGCGGGGGTGCTGAGCAGCAGCCACTACGTGGCCGTGTTCAACCAGGCCCAGGCAGCCGGCCACCAGCGTGCCGACCTCCGCCGCCTACTTCAACGTCAGGTTCTGGGACCGGTTGAGGCGGCTTGGGCGCAGCGAGCCACTTTGTTGGCGCTCGCCCAGCGGCCTGTTTGGCGACCTTTGCTGGAGGCCCTCGCAGAACTCCCTGGTCATGGACCCTACTGGGCAGGCAAACTCGCGTGGGACCTGCGGGCTTTGAATGTAGCCACGCCGTTCCCACGCGATCGGAAGAGGTTTGCCCTGTGGGGTACAACTGGGGCAACGCGAGGGCTCAATCTCCTCTTAGGGCGCCCACGCAATGCCTTTCTGGAGCCAGCTTGCTGCCGTGCTTGGGGGAGACTCCTTCTCCGCTTTATGGAAAAAGTCTGCCCCCAGACAATTTTGGGGGAGCACCCGACGCACGAACTCCACTGCATTGCGTGGTGGTGCTGCGAGCTGTCCAAGACGGCTTCAGATGTTTGGGCGCCAGCTGGGTGAAATACGGAAGCACGAGCCCCTTCAACAGCAAACACCCCCTCATCCCGGAACCTTCCAAATGCCGTGCAAGTATACAGGAAGAGCGCATGTTCGCTCGTAAGTCTTTTCAACAAGCCCAACACGACAGTGGCCTTCGTATGGCCCTCAACCAGGAAATCCCACCAACCAACCGAACCCTGACCTGCTAGCCCTCACAACCCTTTACCGACACCCCAAACACTTCTACCTCGGGTCCTCAACGGTTCTGCGCAAACTTTCTGCACCGAACCCCTTGACCCCAAACCAAAACCCCGAAGAACCCACACCAACACCTCCAGCACCTTCTATAGCCTTATAAAGCCGTTCACCATACCTGCCAAGTTCGATGTTGTTATCTGAAGTTCCTACAAGCAGCACAAACTGCGTTGCAGAACACGCCCTTTTCGAACCCGACTAGATCCCTTTGTTATTTTCGTCTTACTCGGGTCGTGTTCCGCTGCTTCGGGTGTGGGGTTTAGAGTTTAGGGTTTCGGTTTCAGAGTTTAATGTTTAATGTTCGGGGTTGATGTGGAATCTGATGTTCGAACTGAGTTGTGGTAATGGATGTTCCTTCAGATCGTGGACTGCCGGAAAGATTCAAGAATGAGGGACCCTAGTTTCAGACCTTAAAGATGTCAGTACGAGGATTCAAGACCCCGTACACCCTTTCTTGAGAAACTTGAACCCCCCTGAAGCTCTGAGGCTCCAAAGCTCCGAACTCCTCGCTAAAACGTCCGAAACCCCAAACCATGGACACCCCGAAGCCCTGAATATCACGAGATCCCGTATGAACCCTGATCCCATGCAGCCCTGATAAAACCCAGCACAGGCAGGGGCCAAAATAATCACCAATCTTCCCTCGGGGTCGGTGTTAAAATCCAACAGTTGTACCATGATATTCTCCAAAAGAGCTTTGCTAGTAGTTAGACGAACCATATCACTGCCATCGTGCGCAGGGACGCTGGGCGCAGCGCTCGCAGCTGTGCGCAGGCTCAGCTTCGAAGGAGACACACGAGGAACACACTCACAGTCCTAACACCCTGCCCCGCTACGAAACTCTGGCTCTGACACGAAAGGTTCTCTCGTTCGCCTCCCAGGAAGCCCCGAGCCTTAGTTTAGGTTTTTTTTGTGCATTCGCTCAAAGAATAGCATAAGCATCGCAATTGTCTGAATTCCTCCCATACACGCGGCTGTCACGTTGGCGACCATGCCCATGTCTCGTCATGCTCGCTTGTGGCAGTTCTACTTGCTGCTCGTCATCTTCGTGCTGACATGATTACACACTCGTCCTCGCTGACTACCGACCAAGCCCGTCCCACACGCCTCAAGCTAAACTTTGCGAGGCCTCCCGCTTTGGATGATGTCCTGGCCGGCCCGCAGCTCGTAAAGCTGCCAGATGCTGAAGGGGTGCCAGCGAAAAATCTGCTTCCATCTTTGAGCTGGTAGGGCTGAGTTCCAGGTCTGCCTATACCTGTAACAGCGTTGTTTTTTTTGCTTTGCTTCATTTGAGATTATTAGGACTAAAGACGTTGCCACCAATGGATACAGGGGCCAGAGAGCCTGAAATTATGGGTCGAACCCGGAACCTTGAGCCCTCAACTTTGTCAGCCACAATTATAAGTCCTTCGAGCGTTGAGGTACCTCGGGCCACGAGAAGGAATCTTCAAGGTGCCTTCGGAGTTGCTGCAGTGAAGCCTACCTTAGAAGGGGCCCCTACCCTGTAATAGTGGTATAATAGGAATGTAATAGGGCCCTAATATAATCCTTGTAGTCACTACTACAGGGTGGGGGCAGCTTCTAAAGCCTACCGTTGCAGTTCGTGGCCCCGAAGGCCTTGCATTCCACGAGCCCCCCGAAGCCCTAAACCGAGAGACTCCAAAACATCCTGACTCAGGAACACTGCTTACGTTAGAAAGGGAGCCCTCATACGATGTAAGGTGCATTCCGTTACATGCCTTAGTTAAGGGCTTTTGGAGTCTTTGGGATGGTTTCAAGGACCTAGTAGTTGGGTACACGTCTAAAATATGCCTTGTCTTCAAGGGCCCTCATTGTTGTAAGACTTACTGCGACTGTAACCCCTAGACGGGGCAGTGGGTTCATTAATCAGGGGTCTGCATGTGTGGTTATCAGGTCGTTGGGCCCTGGGGAAGGCAGTCTGATTATGAGGGGTTTATTGTGCTTGGTAAGCAGAAGAGGGCATGAAAGCCCTGATCCCCACACCTAATACTAACCTACACGTACTCTGCCCACATCTAAGTACTTAGTTCTTGGCGATTTGCACCGTTGTTGATGCGGACCCCATGGCCGCGGCAGGGGCTGCCAAGCATTGGGTTTTGCTAGGTCTCCCGTAGTACACTTGGGGTCCTTGGGAGTTTATATGGTTGCGGCATAAAGGCTTGTACAGGTATTGGAAGGAGGCTCATGGTGTGTTCCAGGTTGTTTTGATCGTGGGGTATCGGTGTATGCTTCTTGCAACTGAAACTAGGAAAAAAAGGGTATTGGCAGGATTGCCAAAGTAATTAGCAGTTCGGTTGATGGCATATGCTCGGGTGATGGAGGCGAAGCCATGCTGCCATGTCAGAGTAAGTCCTCATAGCACAGGCCAAGCGACCAAAGCGTCTCTGCATTTGCCTCACCCTCAAACTATGTTGTTCACGAGGATTCTGAGGAACACATGTCTTTGGGGCTTTGAAGTTCGGGCTTAGGTGGGCAATCCGGAACTTAGAGTTCAGGCTTTTGGGGGTTCCGGGGTTTGCGTCGGCTAGGGCTCAAGAATCCTTAAGCCCTAAACTGGCACGAAACCCTAAACCCAAGTCTTGAAACTATGGGATTCAGTTGTGGCTTTTATTGTTTGATTTGGAAGGGTTGGGGCGACATAGGAGGTTTGGTTTTAAGCGGGGCTGTAACGGGGTCTCGGGGATCGGGATGTGTGGTAGGTGCTTTCGCGGTTGCCGGGCTTATGATTTCAGAAGAGCGGTACGGTTCTTGGGCCTTGTGGATAGGCTTTAGGGTTTGGCTAGGCTTTCGGGTTAGTAATTATAGTGGTGGTGGTTTGCTCAGATGAAATGTGCCGACGTACTTCCCCGAGCTTAAATCTACCAGAATCCACGAATACTGCCGGTGTTTCTGCAGTCTCTGCCACATTCTGCAGGATGTCGTTTCCTGAAGCTCCTGATCCAGCCCCATCGGCAATGAGGCCCAAGCTTTGAGAACCAGACCACCTGGCACACTCGGCCGCGGCGAAGAAATCGGACACCGCTTTTCAGGGCTTTTCCGTCTTCTTGCGTTTCAGAACTGACAGTCTGTAGTTACCCATAGGCCCCAAAGTAGTTCCTATTTTGGGATTATTAACCCCAAAAAGGAACTACTTTGGGGCCTTAGGGTAGGCCTCAGGGCATCTTAGAGAGTGACTGGAGCCCTGGGCCTGGGTGGTTGGAGATGAGGGAAACTGCTGATGGACAAAATCCTGCATTAGCCATGATAAGGAATATACCATAGTTCCCATAGTTTAGAGTCCTTAGGGTCATGCAGGATTTTTGCCATCAGCAGAATCACTTGTCTAGGAATCTAGGCTTGGCCCGTTGGTGGTTCAAGGTGTTGTGCCTGTTTTGCGAGCGCACTTAAGAAGCCAAACCTGAAGGTGTATTTTGGGTTGGCTGCTCGTAAACCACTCATGTGAGAAAGCGGATCTCACAAAGGCATCAGGATACAAAAAGGTATACACCTGGATTGCATATTGTTTCCGACCTCATCTTCTTGGAAGTCAAGTTACACTGCTTGAAACGGCTCACTGATACTGATGAGGATCTGGACCAATCGTTTGGATGTGTTGCCGCACTGGATCTGCTTCGTGGTTTCGATGTTGTCATGAGTGCGCGGGAGCTCTTGCGGCTCAAGTTCCCTTCCCTTGTCGCGCCGAAGCATTTTCAAAATGGGCTTTGCATGCCTCCTGCTCCTCTTCACTGTGGTGCAAAGAGGCCACAGCCGGCAGGATGAAGTTCCTTCTGCTTCCTGTGCCGGCTTGAGGTCATCGGCCCCTGGGTGTGATAAGGGTCTGTCCATGCTGGCCCAGCGCCACCGTGTCACGAAGAAGGACCTCCTGGAAAGGGTGACCTTGACCACAAGCACGCACACGCTGTACTATGCCCCCGACTTTCCCGATGTCGGTGACATGACGAAAGTGACCACCGAGGAAGTGCCAGCATGGACTCTGGAAAACGACCGGGGGGTACGCGCAAAGGTCATGAGGAAGGGTGGGAATCTGGTGGAGCTGTCCAAAGATGGACATCCGTCCCTTGGTTTCCAATTGACAGGTTACTGTAAACTAAACCGACCGAGACAGTGTTATAGACCGCGTCAGGTATGTCTGGGACAACACCAAGGGTGCAATTTACTACGGGGTGAACAGCAGCACCTTCCCCCTCACCCGTGGACTATACATCAATGGTGGTGTCCGCTTTGCGGCAGAGACTGGACCGCACTAGCATTCCCTAAACCATGACGGCGCAGTTTTCCATGACTTCACATAGAACCCACCTGCAAGCATATGACATTCGCAGGAGCATGAATCATGAACGCTAAAGTTGAGGCTGCATCGCTTGTTTGGACATGCACAGGACTTGGTACTGAGTGGCATTTAGAGTGTCTCCTCAACGATGGGTAGCAGGCATCAATTCGGCCGAGATGGTTAACGCACGTGCATGCGAGGTGACCCCTGAGCATGGCTTGTACTACGACACGCTTTGGGACGTTACCTTTGAGCAGAGTGAGGAGACGACGCCGGAAGACTCTCTGCAGTGGGAGGTAGTGCGTGAGACTTCGCCCATTAGTGCAAGGTGCGAGGCTAGGACGCGGACCACTCGTCAGGGGATCGGAAGCACAAACTGATTGTTTGTGGTTTGCATTCCGGTGTTCAGTCTTTTTTGTGGGGCTTCTGTTGTTCTACGATGGGCCATTTCCTGCCGCAGAGATCCGAAATAGTATTCCGAACTGGTATCCCGAAGTCCCAACCCTATTCGCCCCATTCCGCAACCCAACATTCTCCGTTCACCTCCATCACCTTCCTTTCCTTCTGTGTGATGTCAGAGGAGGAAGAGTCGCGATCCATTATCCTCAGCATCACCGATTCTTTGGAGCAGCGGCAAAAGCTGAACGACACCTTGTCCCCTGATGGAAACGGGTGAAGCTTCGGTCTTGCCGTCAGGTGCTTGAGCCACTTTGAATGAGCACTCATTGATTTCTTGACGTAGAGGTTTGTCGCCAGTTCAGTCGCAGACATCTTGCGGAATCCTTGCAAACCTTTTGTTGTGACGAGTTTGATCGAAATCAGCGATGTTAAGCCAGAGGAACCAATGACAAAGAAACAAGAGCACTAGATCTGACCAAGGTCTCAGGGGAAGTACTCATTACCTGATGGAGCTCCGATGAGTGCCTCGGTGAATGGTAGTCTAGTACGGCGACGAGTACTATTGGTATCAGTACGACTACCCCTGCTGCTGCTATTCGTACTGCTACTGCTATTGCTATTGCTCGCCTGCTCCTGCTCCTGTTGCTGTTGCTGTTGCTGTTGCTGCTGCTGCTGCTGCTGCTGCGGCTGCTGCGACGACGACTACTACTACTACTACGACTACCACGACCACGACCACGACCACGACCACGACCACTACCACTACCACTACCACTACTGCTACTACTACTACTACTACTACTTCTTCTTCTTCTTTCAGGTCACGGGCTGGAGGCTTTATGGTACAGGCTCGAGTACTTCAGAATTCGGAAAGCAGTTTAGCGTGTGATGGGAGGGTGTTGGGATCTCTTGGCTGTCATCGGGAGGGTAGGTATTCTGCAGGGAGGGGTTTACACGACGGTATGGACTTGCGGGCCAAGCATGCATCTATCGGCTATCCAAGGCTGAAGCTTGCACGTTCGATGTTCGTAGTTAGAGAATACAGGATGACAACTTGCAAATCTGCAGGTGCTTACCCTGTCACCAACCTCGTTTTCCGGTTCTGGATCACCCTCCGTGCCGGCGAGGATTACGTGCGACTACGAGCTGCCCCTCTGCTGCAAAAGACTAAAGTCTCAGTTTGTGCTAAGGGTTAAGGGTTTAGGGCTCAAGGGATGAGGATTTAGGGGTTCAGGGTTTAGGGTCTAAGGGTTTAGGGTTTAAGGGTTTAAGGCTTAAGGGTTTAAGGTTCAAAGTTTGAGGGTAAGCTGCTTAGACCGTGTCCCACAGCAGAACATCCCATACACCCGCCTCGACGAGGAAGTCATCAATCCAACGGCTGCGGACGCCAAGGGAGCAGCATGGATGCCAATGACCTTCCCCATCGATGAGGACGCAAACGGATAGGAAAACCGTTCGCACAAGAAGCCACAACTGCCGAGCCATGTTCAAATTTCTGAACAGCCAAGCTTTGCTGAACAAATCCCGACGGTAAGGGAGCAATGCCGGCCTTGGCCTGCAGTTTCCCGGATAGGGCAAGCACAGTCATGAAGCCGCTATTGGCAGCCATCAGGAGTGCTTACGTTACATTCGTGTACATGTCTAGTTGCATCTGGGGAATCCCAACCGATGCGTGCTGACTATTGAACAAGCCGGACACCGTATCAGGTAAAATCTCCTAGTAGCGTGCCTCTCTAGGATGCTTCCCAATCCGCAGATGAAGTTTAGAGCTAGGCGCACTTGACGCAGAGGCTGTGGCAAGGTTTCTGTGGTTGTACATCAAAGTAAGCAAACCGGGTGAACCCTTGCTTTCTGGTGGCATAACATCTGCCCCGTGGACAGCCACCCTGGTTTTTCTACACACGCTTGTGACGCGGTGTTCACAATGTTTGTTGTCCTGCTTCGTGGCAGTTCCTATGCCACTCCAGTTGCACTGCCCATAGCTATCATGGTCTTCGTGCCCTCACATTCGTTTTGTGTCGGGGCGAAGCTCAGCTGGGCATTCCTGCTGCCATGCTTTGTTCAGACACCGGTACCCACCTGAATCATCGCGCCAGGGCATATATTCCTTTGGACATAATGACCACAACCTGTAGAACTTGTGGTGTCTCGCTATGGGACCTCAGTCTAGGTGGTAGGCCTTCCGCTTCAGCCCTCTTGTGACAACCGCGTGTGGTCGATTGTCGCGGAAGCGAGGACTCGCAGATTATCACGCCACAGGTGTACCGCTTCAAGAGTGAAGCTCGGCGGAAAGAAGCTTCCTGCGCCGTTGAAGTATCTTGCTGCTTTCTGACTGTTGCTCTTCCAATCTTAAGCTTGCAAACTAAAGTACCGTCGAATCTCGCAAGGCAAGGCGGCCGTCGAGTTAAACCGTTATCTCAGTTTTGGATGTACGGGCCTTCTGCAGTCTGAAGTGGGGTTTCCTGAGCGTATGAGGAATGTTCCATGATGCAATTTCCACGGCCATGTACAAGAGCAACAGGGCCAACTCAACATTGCACTTCAATCTGAGGACGAGTGGTGCTACCGAGACCTGCCAAAAATCTTTCGCTGGGACAGCCCCTCATCTCGCAAGTGACCAAAACATCGATGCGAGATGCGCATTAGGCGTTCGCGGGGATGATGCG